CTCAAATAGTTTGTTATATTTGTTTTTCTTCGCCATGGCACTGATTGCCACTTTAACATTTAAGTTCGCCACCTGCATCGGAGTTCTTTGAAATCTGGTGACATACTGTCTCAATGCCTAACCACTTTCCCTTTTAAGGTCTACTAGGTCAGATGAGATTTTTTTGGATAGCACACTCATTATGAACTGAGCTCAAAATGTTGTAGCCAGTTGGGAGAACGATTGGATGGATCCCGTTTTGAGGGTTTGATACCATTCTTGGGATGCTCCTTTTAGTATGATTAGGAAAACTTTGCACATGACGTCTTTAGAATTAGTTTGGGGTACATCATGGTTCAGAAGGTTGTCAGATGGTCCGGGGGTCGGTAGATCCATCATATAGGGATGGAAGTTTGGAATTTTGAACTTTGGGGGAAAAGTCGCACCTAAGATATTGGTTGATAAGGGGGAGTCCTCCCTGAGGCTGTAATCCCCCACCTCTCCTGTTTCTCTATACTCCTGGTCCAGTTCTTTGACAATATTTTGAAGATTAGCACTATTCATAATTGGTTGTGTGTGGCTCAGTTCTTGGCTATAGGGAGGGGCCATACTGAGATTCGCTTCGAACTCCACCTTATGGAGTTGTTTATATGCTGGATAACTTTGTTGCTTAGGTGATGGCGGAGGCGCATCATGCTTTTTGTGACGTTGGTTCGTTGGTCCATATAAGGGCGTCAGTTCGCCACCTTGATGAGGGATTTCGAGGAGGCATTTTAGCACAACGGTGAATTATGAGTATGCTTGGGCTAGTGCAGCCACAATTTGAGAATCAGTTGTTGGTGGAGGGGGTATCACGGCATGTCCAGTTGCCTCGCTATGGTTGTTGCTCTGACCCTCCATGTTAGGATGTTCAATCAATTCGTTGGCCATAGTGTTCAAGATGAATGGGTTTGAGATTATTAGGAATTGAAAATGTGTTCTATGCTTATCGCACTAATTGTTAAACTCTTATAAATTGAGGATTTAGAGAATTGTGAATTGACCTCTTGTAGGCTTAATTGGAAATATTTATATTGATAGAGAAATAATTATAGTTGAATAAGGATAGTAGAAATCCTAGTTTATCTATTAATTAGAGTTTATTTAAAAGTTTAATATTTTTAATATTATTTTTTTATATATTTTATTATTTTATATTATCAGTTAGTAAAATAACCAATAGTAATTAAAAAAATATTTATATTTCCTATTTAATGAAAATCTATTTGTTTTTGTTTAAATTTACTATATAATTAGTTTTAACATTATAAAACTCATTAAAAATAAAAGAAAATTATTTTCACATTAAAATATATTAAATAATTTATCCGAATCACTTTTATTCTTGAATTTCAATATAAAAATTAAAAAAATATTATGAAAGAACAGTTTAAATAATATATAAATATCCATACGCAAACTGTGAATTTACAACTAATTCTATTTATATAAATATTATGAAAGAACAGTTTAAATAATATATAAATATCCATACGCAAACTGTGAATTTACAACTAATTCTATTTATATAAATATTATGAAAGAACAGTTTAAATAATATATAAATATCCATACGCAAACTGTGAATTTACAACTAATTCTATTTATATAAATATTATGAAAGAACAGTTTAAATAATATATAAATATCCATACGCAAACTGTGAATTTACAACTAATTCTATTTATATAAATATTATGAAAGAACAGTTTAAATAATAAAATAAATAATTGAAATTCTAAATTTTACAAGAAAATGAAAAAGAGGTAAATAATAGAAAAGTAGCTGTAGCTTCATTTCACGTGGGTTCAGACCTGAGATCTAATCTTAAATCTTAATCACATTGACATTTTCATTTCGAAATTTTTAAATTGAGGAATTTGGAATTTTGTGTTTATTTTATAATTTAAAGGACTCTCACACTCGGGCTGTGTTACGGTTTATTTGGGTACAAACCCATAGATGGGTTAATTTAGCCCACAAAGTACGTAAGAGACTAAGAACAACCTCTCACCTAAAGAGGAAAAATTTTGCCCATCAAACATGTGAAATTATAAATGGGGGTTCACAGTTCTAGTCACTTAGGAGAACACAAATAAAATTAATAATGCCAATTTATAAAAAAAAAATTTAATCAAATTGAACTAGAACGAATACTCAAATTTAATTCTAATGGAAATTCAAAATTATAAAAAGAAATAATTAAAAAATAGCTTCCCATTCCTCAAAAAAGAAAATTATATATGTGTGTGTATGTATTTATGCATTCTTGTATATATTATATATAATCGTGATTTAATTTTTTATATCTATAATTTTCTATAATTTTTTATTTATTTATAGAATTTCTATTTTGAGTTAATAAATTTACATAATAGATAAGTTAGAGATAAAATATTGTCTTTTTTTTTTTGAATTTTTAATTGAGTTTAGATACTAGAGTTTATTAGGGTTTCTAATTGAATAGTATTTGGTTTTTTATTTTAATAGTACGAGTTGATTTCCTTTTTTTTTAATGTTAATATTAATCGTTATCATAATAATAATTATAATAAAATTATTAATTGAGTGGCTATTTGAGTATTAACCAGATAGATATTATTCATAGAATAGAACTAAATCCTACTTACACAGATCGCTCCTAGCTATGAGTGGCAAGATCACTGACTGAATCTAAGACCAAAATGATCCATTTCGATTCAGTTCAAGGAGCTATTCAATGCATATACAATTTGTTAAGTTAGTCAATTTGAATTGAATTTGTTATTCAGTTTGAGTCGATTTCATAGAAATTCATCAGTTGAGCTTAAAACCAAATTGACATAGTAAAAATCGACCAAAATCAATCGAACTGATTGGTTCAATTTCAATATCGGTTAGATTTATGTCTAAAACTTTTGATATCCATTTTTTATCTTGATTCGGTTCGATTTGAATCGAATAGACCGTTTGCTCACCCATACTCCCAGTAAGCATTTGCTTTGTCTATAAGGATCAAACTCTCAACTTTATTTAAAAGAAAAAAAAAATGTCGAATCACTCATCTCCACACATGTTAGTTATTTGTCTTTTTTTTTTTTTTTACACACATTGTTAAGTTATTTGGTCTTTTTTTTTTTTTAATTTTTCAATATCAGTTATTATTAGGATTCATAATTTTTATTTTTATATATTTATCATTGTCTTAAACCAGAAACAATATTGAATTACTTGGTAAGGGCTAAAAATCTAAACGTAATATTCTTTTTCACCCGGTATTTTTTGAGAGGAATTGAACATAATTATATAATACATTTGTTAGTTTTTATCAAACATGTGTCTTTTTTTTTTTTTTTAATTTTAATATCAGTTATTATTAGGATTCATAATTTTATTTTATATATTTATATTGTCTTAAACCAGAAACAATATTGAATACTTGGTAGCTAATAAATCTAACGTAATATTCTTTTTCACGGTATTTTTTTTGAGAGGAATTGAACATATATATAATACATTTGGTTAGTTTTTATCAAACATGAACTATAACTATAAAATTAACGTAAAAAGCAGACTCACTCTTAAATAACATTAATACTTATTTAAAGTCCACACACATTATTATTTTTTATTTCCACATATACATTATTCTAAATAAATAACTTTACATATACATATACATTATTTCCACATATACATATACATTATCCTAAATCCTGTTAAAAAGAAAACAAATACATATACCCCAAAATTGTCCCCAAAAAATAATCCACGGAACCCACGAGGAAAAGGCAGCTTCATGGATTTAGTGACTTGGAATCCAGCACCAATAACTTAGGTTCTCCATTAATCTCATCATAAATGTATCAAAATAATTAATATAAAAAGACAAATACATTAGAATATAAAAAAACCGTAGAAGTTTAATATTAGTTTTTTTCTTTTCAAATTTTAGATTTTTTTTTAAGTATTAGGAAGGGAGATTCGTCTCCCACCCGATTCCAACCACTAGAGGAATTGTCCTGATCCAATGGAAAACTTCCCTGAAGGTCATTCATCCTAAGATTTCCAGTAGACAATCTTGTAGTTCTTTCAATTCTCTAAGCCATTCCACCAAAATACGCATATGATAATTAATTTTCCCTTTTCGATATATAATCCAATTTATTCATGAATCTCACATTCTACTACCATAGCTAGTCTATCATCCTAAAAGGTAACCAAAAGCTTTGTTCTATCTACCCTTTTAGAATCGCTTTGCCAGATCGGGTGTGACAATTCGAACCTGGATTTATTATGAGATATAAACTCTAGATTCTAAACCATAAAACCTAAATATTAATATCATAAAACCTAATTTATCTAAATCTTAAATCTTAATTTTATTTTGTGCCATATATATGTTTTCAAAAATAAAAAACCAACTGATGAAAATATAAAAAAGAAATGCCATATTAATAAGGCACTCGCTTTGCTTAAGTTTGGCAATAAAAATCAAACAGAATCCCTACCAGCGTGACGTGAACGAGCAGCGGCAAAAGGTAGGGTGACAATTTCAGAGGGTTTGGATTCAATTCGGTTTGTTTAAATTTTTTTTATCATATCATGCTCAGCCATAAACATAATTAATACTCTATCTCTTCCCTTCTACTTTAACAATAACATTTCATCTTTTTCTAAAAATTAAAAAACATGATTGATTTTTTAAAAATACATAATAGAATGCCTAAATTACCCTTCATCCATTTAATTTTACTATAAAACCAATGTTAAAGTGAAACAAAGTAAAATAGTCATTTATTACTATTAAAGTGGAACCAAAGGAGTAGTAAAATGCAGTTTCTGTTTTAAGCACATTCCGAGTTAGACATGAAGATCATCAGAGTATGAATATATATACAAGGAAGAGCCGACTCCAACAACTTTAAGACAAGCACCAAAAAATTAGTTTCAGCCGCAAGCATGTGCACAAGGGAGAAAATTTGATTTGGTTGCGGTTCAAATCAATCCAAAGTATGAAATGATTTTGGCATATTGATAAATTCAACTGTCATAATAATCAGTTAATTCTAAAGATGACAGAAAAAAACAACTCTTTCCAAATTAAGTTATCACATGCGTACATGAATTGGAAAAACATGAGATAATAACACAGCTCCTTTCTGTACAAATCTTTTCATTAAGTTAATTTCATAACTATCATGCAGGAATAACGGACAGCAGAATGCTACTCCGGCCTTCTGTTTTCCTATCTCCACAGGGAAGAGAATATAAGATTCTATGTCAACTGAAAATTACTCCTCAAAATAGAAAATTTTAAGCTGTAAATTTATCAAATTATAGGATAATAGAGATAGAGGTGGTGGGTACACAACCTATTTTGCATGCATAACATCTCAGATTGCATCAGGAAACACGATTCGGGCAGGCATTTGCAAAGTGTGATGGATCACCACATACATAGCATCTTCTGCCAGAAATAGGATCACCAGTGGCTGATACAAAAGTTACATCAGCACCACGGCCTCCACTCTGCACACCTCTGCCACGCCCACTTCTCCTGCTAGGGTTTGATGCTGAGTTATCCATACTTCCATGGGGAGCATTTCTTCTGTTGCTGCCATTGTTCAAGTTATCCTCCCATCTGCAGTGCAGGAAATCAACTAGTTCTCATAAATATTCAGCTCAGATCTGTTTGTCCCTTTCCTTTTTTTCAATGTGTACCAAATAGGTTTTCTTTTATTTATTTTGCTAAACAGTGGGCAAAATGTAATTAACTGATTCCCCTCAAAATGCTTTTCTAAGATAACTAAAAGAGGGATTTCAAATTCAGTGACCATAAGCTTAGGTTTTGCATACACAAAAAAGTTGCATCCTTGCGATGAACATGAGTAGAACTTTCTGCCCCTGTTATTTGCAGTATTAGCCGTACGAAGAAGACAAGGCGTTCCACATGTCCCACATGAAACTGAAGATTCCCCTGCATCACAGAGAGCAATTAAGAGCAATATCAGTTACAAAGTATAGCGGCTTCTGAGATTATTTTCAACTAACATTAACTTTAGAGAACCAACAAAATTAACTCAATGTCACTTAAAAGGACCCTTGAAGAAATAAGAAACGTTAACCAAATACCCCTCATCTGAAATAAGTATTTAAAACTCAAGATTTCCTGATGTTTAATTCCATGGTTCAGCTCTTCCAAATATTATAATGTCAAGTCCTAGGCTCCATTAGTTTCCAAACATTTCTAAAGTTTCTCATATTGGGGTGCTCAAGAAAATCAGTCAACAAAAAATATTTCCTAGTCATTAAGAAACCGTTATCATTTTTATTTATTTCCCTCTTAACAATAAATTCTTAAAATACAAATTTTTATAATCCAAAATTATAAATTAAAAATTTGAACATTTTTTAACTAATTTTCAGTGTTTGCAACCAAACAACAAAAAGTAAGTTTTTTGGATAATATTTTCCAAGAAAAATGATATTCTTAGAAAATATTTTCCAAAAGTTAATTATTTTCTGAAAACAAACATAACCTAAATGATCTCATTTATTCTAGAGTTTTCCCATATTTCAACCCTCCACAATTTTATTCTTTATCAATCTGCTCCACATACTTTTAGATTAGTTTCAGTTTTATCCATCAATTGAAGGACATCTGGAACAAACGAGTCTGTGATGAGTGAGACATGCTAATGTAGACAAAGAAACTTCAAGTGGAAAGAATGCTTAAAATGAGATTTGCCCGGTGTCAAAAATACCCAAAAGCTTCACTAAGACAAGACCATACTTGTCCTTTCCAAAGCTATTTCTGAAACCATGAGATAGGTTCTAAGCCACTGTTGCTTCAATCGTCTTAGGCACCGAGTGCATTCCATGTTCAAGCATTCTTTCCATTTTAGATTTATTTGCTAACATCAAGGTGCCATAAGAACTACACATCATTAATTGCACAAGATTCTATTGGCAGATAAAATTATTATCAATTAAGAATATGCAGTGAATCGATAACATCGAATAGAATGAAAAATGACGAAAAGTCCATGATGAATGAGATCTTTAGCCTAACCTCTACCTGGTCTGATGTTTGTCTTAGCTGATGGGAATTCTTCAAATTGACAGATGAAGAAGAGAGAAAAAGGTGAAGAGAGGGGCATGATTCCCATCTACAAGAGAAAACTACATTTACAGCCAAATCTATGGTCCTACACAAAGCAAGGAACGTCTAATCTGCTGCCAACAATTGAAGGGTTCATATTGATTATGGATCAGACAAAGTAAAAGAAAATGAGACCTAAAAATGTTAATCATTCCTGTCAAACTGTCCAAAAGAATGTAAGCATACTCCCTGACAAATGTCAATAATAACTCTCCATGGTGAAGTCATTTTTTATTCCATTCTCACGAAATGAGATATAATAATATGATGTCTATTACCATGTTTGGTGTTTGTTGATATCTCCAAGAAGTTGTAATCGATGCTAATTCAACTGAGAAAATAAACCTGCCTCTTAAGAACATCTTAAAGGACCAGGTTAAAGTAAGAGTTTATAGTAGTACCAGTCTGTTGATTCATTCCACGGGACTGAGCCTGTCGAGAAGCTGAAAGTCGTGAAGGACAGTCACTTGAAATATGCCCTATTTGCTGACAATGAGTGCAAGTACCATGCCTAGTGTTACTTTGTTGGAGGTTGCTGGATGTTGTATTTGGAGCTCTACCTCTTGCTGCAGGACATATTCAGAAGCATTTAAAACTTTAACTTGGTAATTGCAGGAGATTATCTATTAGATACAAGTCCCCTTTTCTCTCATGGAGCCATTTTGGCTAATGGTATATCAGAACAGCAATCGCTTATTTCTAGGGAAATCAGCCTCCAAAGACTTAAATTGTGGATAAAACTCTTCTTCCCCATTCCTTAACTAAGATATGTATAGAACTCTTAACCAACTACCTCAACAACAGACTGGAGATATTTTTGCCTACAAATTCAGTAGTAAAAAAATCGTCCATGGAAAATATTTTCTGATAAAATGAATTATTTCCACCATTTGGTTTAGCATTAGGAGTCAATTAGAAAGGCTTCCCAAATGATCAGAGCATATACTAATGGCTAGATTTAAGACTTCATAATTTTACACTTTTCACTGACTTGGATGAAAGAGGAAATTGAAAAAAAAGAGGTTTGTGGTGGATGTAGGTGATTGGTGGCAATCAACAATGCTCAATAATGGGTAGCATAGGCACTGAATCGATGTGTATATGCCCAAATGATCTTTTCATGGGTTTCTTCCTTCTAATTTGTTTTTAGAAGTCTAAAAATACCTTCCAACTTCAAAATTAGGGAGTCATTTTCTTTCAAATAGTTCAGTGTTCCCTTTCATCATAAAAAAAAAAAAAATACACATATATACATAAGTAGACCATTTTTGCTTATGCACTAAAGCCTAGAAAATGAAAAACAAATTAAATAGAAGTTAAAATTTCAGGAGAACAATTTCCATAAATAGTGGCTTTGTTTCTGCATGAGTAACCAAAAACAGAAGGGCTAAGAGCAGTGAATTTGAGAGTAAGAGTATAATCAATAGTAATTAGATTTTGCACATTTGCGTAAGAGATTATTGTGGAACAGCCAATTTGCCCAACCACCTAAACATATATACAGACCTTGTACACGGGAACCAGTTCCACATATCTCTATCAACTGTCTTAGAGTCTCATCACAGCCACCAATGCAACCTGATCGCAATGTCAAAGACATTCAATACTTGCTGTTAGTGCAAATTCCACAAACTAAACTGTAAAGGCTATCCCTAAGGACAAGAGCCAACTGTAGATTATCCTTCACCACAATTATCAGTATTAGGTAACAAGCCTGATAGCTAAACATCTAATACTACAGCAGCAAATTTTTAGAGGTAAGGATGAAAATGAGTTCCCATTTGGAATTTCAAAATGAGAACAGTTTATTTGTATATATAAAAAGTAGTCTATATTTTTCAAAAGGTTGTCCATGAAAATTTAACATAAAGGAAGTTCCAATAATTCACGGTGCTGCACATACCTAAATGGTTGACATTGAAGCCAGGTGGTATTTCAAGCTGCCGAAACTTGAACTGTATCAAATAAACGGGACCTAAAAGGAAAGTTGTATTATTAACATACAATCAAAATTTCAAGCATGAAAGCAAAAATAAACATCATCAACACAAATATATGCTGATAAGATAACATAAGTGCAACATTTATTGCATGAACAATTTAATAAGATGAAGAAGCCTGAGTGCTAATAGAAGGTATGAGATATGTCTCATGGCATCAGATCAATAGCATAAAAAGGACCAACATATTTGTTAGAAAATTTTCTGCATGCTCTTGTACCTCTAAAAATTTCTAATCTACTAAGTTTCACAAGGGACATGCCACCTAAAGGATCTAATATTCACATACAAATGAAAATTGAGAGACTTCTAGCACTGCAACAATTTAGCAAAACCTACTTAAGATATGGAGAATAGCTGAAAACGATTAAGAAGTAGTCAAGTATTGTCAATAAAAACCTGGAGTGCAATTGTTGCAAATATTGGTGGTTATGGTGGCTTCTAGCACGGGTCCAGGAAGCCATATAGCATTCCTACACTGGAAAGATAAACAGTTTTCAAAAAACTGATGTGAGTCCACATAACTATAGGACAATTGCTGCAACAAAAATGACAAAGAAACCTATAAACTTAAAGGTCACACCGCACAAAAATTAAAATTTGAAAATCCTAGAAGTAAAGGTTAATAAAACTATATTGAAGAAGCTTGATGGCAGGATAAGCTGTGAGGGAACTTTAAGCAATAAAGTAAGGGTTCAAATAAATGACAACAGAGGAGTCCAATTATTTATATGTGGTTGAGTACTAATCTGCAAAATTGAAATTGATGCTTTACAACCTCCTTTTATTCACATTGCGATTATATGTATGTCTGGTCTACACTTCAACTTGAATAAGCAAAGTAATATGATACACATAAGTATAAATAATCATATCAATTAACTAAAGCAAAATAATAATTTAATCAAAGTAATTTAAAATAAAACAGAGTTAAAAAGATAATTATATAAAAGAAAACTTTATTACTTACAAGAAAAAAGAGTCAAAGCTGAAAGAGCAGGGGATAGAGATAGCACAAGCACGCTTCTCTAAAACCTCTGCCTTTCTCATAACACACTTAGCTATTTATAGAAGAGTATGGACTTCATTTGGTTTAAAGTTCGGATAGCTATCATCTAATAGGATAAACCTTATCTACAAAAGATGGATAGGGCTAATACAAACAAACAGGATAGGGCCTAATATAGACAAACAGGACAAGACCTAATGTGGACAAAAGTTGGATAAGCCTCATACAAATAAGCAACTTTACAGATTTATATAATGACAGGACCCTGATAACAGAAGCAACTTTATTGGACATATTTGATATTTGTTTGAATTGGATAGAATTCAATCTATCTTATTTATATCATAACAATCGTCTTCATGGGGTGGTGAGTAGCTAAAAGTTGCTTCATTTTCATCTTCATCTTCTTGCGATACTTGACTATTTATATCTTGTAGTGTCTTCTTGAATTCGTCAATTGAACTGGTAGCGAGGAGGGCAGCCTGCCACTTGCTCGTATCTGTTAAGAAATCTAGATTCTTTGGATTTTCCGCCAAAGGTAAATGTCCCTTTGAACTGGTTGAACACAGGCTTGGGTCTGGTTGTAATTGTAGTTTTTGAAAAAAGAGAGTTTTATTTCTCTATATTTTGTTGTTATTATCCAATCTCTACTCTATTATATATATATCTATATACAAAAGAATGTTCCAATATAGGAAGTAATCTAAATAGGAATAAACCTAAACTAGGAAAGACAATATTTACCCTAATTACAAAGATTTTAACACTCCCCCTCAAGTTGGTGAATAGATATTACACATGCCTAACTTGCAAACTAACGGATGAAACAACTTGTTATTCAAACCCTTTGTTAAAACATCAGCAAGTTGCTCTTTTGAAGCTATATAGGAGACACTTATGAAACCTTCAACTATCTTCTCTTTTATAAAGTGATGATCACTCTCTATGTGCTTAGGTTGATCATGGTGGACTGGATTATTCATAATACTGATGGCTGCTTTATTATCACAAAACAAGGATATACTTGTTATTTCAACCAAGTTTAACTCTTCCATTAATCTGCGCAACCATAGGAGTCACATATTCCCTATGCCATGTCTTTATATTTAGCTTATGCACTAGACCTTTTAACAATAGCCTACTTTTTGCTTCTCCATGTGACCAAGCTTCCTCCAATAAAAACACAATAACTTGAGGTTGATCTCCTGTCATAAAGGGAACTAGCCCAATCCGCACCTGTACAGCCTGTTATTATCAAATGGCCATGTTTAAAAAATAAAAGTCCTATACCTGGAGCTGATTTTAAATATCTTAGAATTCGATGCACAGCTTCTAAGTGAGAATCCCGAGGGTCATGCATGTACTGACTCACTAAACTTACAGCATAGGCAAAATCTGGTCTAGTATGGGCAAGATAAATCAACCTCCCAACTAATCTCTGATACCTGCCAATATCAACTGGACTTCCCACTCCAGCTTGAAGCTTATGATTGGCTTCAATAGGTGATTCTACATATTTATATCCCAACATACCAATTTCTTTAAGGAGATCAAGGATGTACTTTCTTTGAGAAATAAAAATCCCTTTTTCTGATCTAGCAACTTCTAAAATATCTCAACTTTCCCAAATCCTTAATCTCAAACTCCCTAGCTAACAAATTTCTCAAGTGAGTCATTTCTTCTTCATTATTTCTAGTCATCATTATATCATCAACATAGACAATAAGCAACGTGATCTTACCCTCATGATGTTTAATGAATAAAGTAAGATCAGCATCGATCTGAATATACCCAAAGGAAAGCATAGCTTTACTAAATCTTTCAAACCATGCTCTTGGTGATTGTTTTAGCCCATATAATGACTTCTTCAGCTTGCAAACTTTTCCTGTGATTTTGTCAATATCAAATCCAGGAGGAATATCCATATACACCTCTTCTTTCAAATCACCATGTAGAAAAGCATTTTTAACATCAAATTGATGTAACTCCCAGTCAATCAAGATTGGCTGCATAAGACAATAAAATTCTGATTGTCAACAAAATTCTGAATTGTGTTCAATCTTGGCTACAGGGCAATTTTCCTTGATAATTCAACACCACAGGCTCTGGCTGAATCCTCTGGCTAACCAACCTAGCCTCTGTACCTCTCAATTGAAACCATCTGCCCTATGTTTAACTGTGAACCACCCATTACATCCAACTGGCGTTCTTTCCTGGCTTGGAGGAGTTACAAAGATCCCATGTCTTCATTTTTTGCCAAAAACTCTCATCTCCTCAACCATTGCAAGTCCCTTCCATTTTGCCAATCCTTTTTTAAATGCCTTTCTTGCCAATCCGTGCGCTACATAGAAACAGAAGAAAAACAGACAAAACCAAAGGCCTCTTATAGGAAGGGGACAGAGGCTATTGTAGCTGAGATGAAAATGGCGAGATGCGGCATGATAGATAGGATGTTTAGTGCATGTTCTAACTCCTTTTCTAAGAGCAATAAGAATATCAAGGTCATTATCAGAAGGACTGGAATCAAGATTAGGATCAGAATCAACAGGAATTAAAGAAGACTCACCGAGTTCTTGCTTTTCTATATCTTCAGGGACCGAAATTGGAGAGGACGGTTGATCAGAGGTCTCATGCTCCATGGTTGTATCTGTATTAGTCTGCCATGTGTAGGTTTTCAAATTAGGTCTATCCAATCTTCCTAGAGATTTGGGTGGTTGCTCTCTCTTACTATCTATGTCTACAGGAATCTCCCCCTGGAGAATCTCCCCCTGGAAAGGAATGTCATCCATCACCTCTTCCATCTGGTATTTCTCCCCTGAAGAGGTGAATAGGAAGGAAAATAAGACTCAAATTCCCGAAAGGTAACATCCATACTCACAAAGTATTTCCGAGAAGGTGGATGATAACACTTGTATCCTTTTTGAGTAGTAGAATAACCAACAAACACACACTTCAAGGCTCTAGGATCTAATTTGCTTAGACTAGTCTGATGAACAAAACAAAGGCAGCCAAAGACCTTAGGAGGTACAATATAAGAGTTTTTTGTTTTTTTCCTTGAAGAACCTCTAATGGAGTTTTAAAATTCCAAAGGTACGAAGGAGGCATACGCATTGATAAGGTAAGCAGCAGATCAAAATAGCATCCCCCCAAATGGTTTGGGAAGATTTCATAAGTGAATATAAGGGACCCTTTAAGCACTTCCAGTAAATGCCTATTTTTCACTTTCTGCTACTCCATTTTGAGCCACTCAATATTGACACAACTAGTCTGATGGATAATACCATTAGAATCTACAAATAGGTACGAAAAACTGCGATTCATTGTATTCAGTACCATTATCAGTTCTTAGGGATGTTAACATACGCATCAAACTGGAGTACAAAATTCATTTTATGGAAATTTCTGAAAACAACAATTAAAAAACTTCATTTATATTGTATTTCATTCAAATAAACCCAAGTCAATCTAGTCGCCAACAATCAAATATAAAGTCACAAACCATCTATAACCAGGAAAGAGAAGACATTATTTAGTAGCGAACCCAGAGAGACAGTTTTAGTAGGACCCCAAACATCAGAATGAATAGTAGCAAAAGAAATCAAATTTTTATTATTAATCGGAGAATAAGAATGCCTGGCGTGTTTGGCAAGTTCACAAGCATCACATACTAATGAATTAAAATCACATTTAGCAGACAAAGTGGTAAATAAACGTCCTAAAACAGAAAAAAGAGGGATGTCCTAATCTCCTATGCCATTGAATAACTTCATCGGAAGGATCTCTAGAAGTTCCTAACAAAGCTTGACTGGTACCCGAATTTGAAAAACGACAAACGTCATCCAACAAATACAGTCCATCGCGCAAGCTACCACTGCCTGCTACCACTACCAATCATTCTCCCCGTGTTCAGTTCCTGAAATATACAATGAGTCGGGTAAAAAGTTACTTTGCAATTAAGTGCTTTTGTGATTAAGCTGACAGATAAGTTAATAGGAAAATCTGGGAACATGAGAACAGGCGAGAGTAATATTGGAAGTACAATCAATGACCTGTTGCCAGCAATGCGTTACTAAGGAGCCATCCGCAATGCGAATTTTGTCTGTGCCTTGATATTTAGAATATGTGAGGAAATGTTTTATAGAGCCTGTTGTATTGTTTATTTATGCTCCTGAATCTATAAAACCCAAGGGTTTTTACAAATTTTTGCAAGAAAGGTAAGGAAAAGCCATTACCTGAATTTAACCAAAATCTGAATTAACAAAATTAGAGGTTGCAGTCTAAGTTAAGGATGAATAAAGCTGTGACGACAATCGTTTCCGGGACTGAATCTCCTTATTAGAAAAGCTTCCAGCAGTAGATGGTTCCTCAGATAAAGCTCCACTATCAGATATGTGTGCCTGTGGTCTAGAAGAACTGACCCGCTTTTCTCCATGCCCTTTAGTTAGGTGTCCATGTAATTTCCAGCAGAACTCCTTGGTGTGCCTGTTCTTACTACAATAGTCATAAAATAATTAATCTCTATCTGAAGAACTACTCTTTGCAGCTTGGATATGTTCTCTTGTAGAATTAGCAATCAACCCTGCTTTGTCAATGGTAGATTGGTGAACCATAGCGTTCATCCTAGTCTCCTCTTGCTGTACAAATGAATATGCTTGTCATAAGGTTGGAAAAGGATCTCGTCCAAGAACTTAGACTCGAATCTGATCATACTCGTTATTTAAGCCAACCAGAAAATCATACACACGTTCTACTTCAATCAATTTCTGAACTTGAGTCGCATCATCAGTACATCTTACTTGAAAGTCTTGATAATAATCCAGTTCCTGCCATAACCCACTAAGTTCATCAAAATATTGAGTGATGGTCAAATCTCCCTGCTTGGTTTCATGAACTTTTTGTCGCAATTCATACCTCTGAGCATAGTTTCCAGTTTGTGAATACGTCTATGAAGCAGCATCCCATATCTTAAGCAGGCATCCCATATCTTCTTAGCTGTATCAAGAAGCAAATATCCTCGGGAAATAGTGGCTGTAATAGAATTTATTAACCAAGACATAATAAGAGAATTCCGGATTTCCATTTGTAAAGCCCGGATCTGTCGGAAACTGGTTTTTTGTCGCTTCCACCATTTCAAGGTAGGCTTGCAAACCTCTTGCTTCAATTAAAATAATAAACAAGACGAGGACCAAGCTAGGTAGTTGTTCCATCTAACTTCACTGGACTAATCTGAAGTGAGGACTCTCTAAGTTGAAAACTTATATCCACCTTCTTTATCCGTCACCATCAATGTCAGAAAAAAAAATTCAAACAGAAGTGTGAAGAAACCAGCCAGTGGCAGAAAAAACACCGGAAAAACGGAAAAAATCCAAACGCAAAAACTGGTGCTGGAAGAACACTGAAGAACAGTAGGGGAAAAATCGCCACAACAAGTCGAGCTCGTCGGAACAAGAAACGTCGACGGAGCTCGCCGGAAACAGCCGCACGCGCCGGCGCGTAAAGAACGGCCGAAATCTTCTGGAGGCACGTGTGCACACGCGCGCGGTCAGACGGGGATGCAGCTTGGACGGAGGGCCGATCGGCGGTCCCTCTTCCTTCTGAGCTGGGCGGTAACGGCCAACTCCCACTCCCGGCGGCACTGTGTGTATCTCAGCCCTATTTCAAACCGAAACCGTTGCCGAAAAATTCACGGCAATGGCTGGGCTCTGATACCATGTAGGAAATAAAGGAACGAATATGTTTATTTCTTTCAATTTGTGATATATTTTCAACCTAAATTCACGGCAATGGCTCTGATACCATGTAGAAATTAAAGGAACGAATATGTTTTATTTCTTTCAATTTGTGATATATTTTCAACCTGTACACCACTATATATATACAAAAAATTGTTCCAATATAGGAAGTAATCTAAATAGGAATAACCCTAAACTAGGAAACATAATCTTTACACTGATTAGGAATAAACCTAAACTAGGAAACACAATATTTACTTTAATCACAAAGATTTCAACAAACCATACTACCCATAATTTGCTTTCTTCTTTCTTTCTTTTTTTTTTTTTTTAACTTGCAAGTAAATTAACTTTTCAGCTAACCCCAGAAAAAAACTTGCTAACAAAGTTAGCTCTGTATCAAAAACCTAAGTAAAAATTTCCCTTGAAAACACTAAGCAACTAGAGCGTATCTAAGTAAATTCTCAATCCTCAATTATCTATGAAGTATTCAGATATTATAGTATATTTCTTATCCTTTTAGAGCTATATTTACTTGTATATTCAAATAAATAATTTTGGTCAAGAAGTTTAAGTTCGAGAGACAATTTTGTGATCCTGTTTTGGTGGAAAATATGTCCCAATTTCTTTGCGAGTAATTATATTTATCTCAAGTCTTATTTTAACGTCCTTGTTGTTTAGGATAATAGTATTCCTCTAAGAACATGCTGGGAGTCCAAGTCCTTGGAGGATGAGGACTAGTTCTGCAGTCATATTAAAAAGGTTTAGGATTAGTTTGTGCCTGTAAAAACCCATGCTTGTAATGATTTATAATGAAGTTTTCATTCAATAAATTCCAGCAAATTATGCTTTTATCTTTCAGAGGAGACGTGTAATTAAATTCTTTCTCTACAAAGTTTGATGCTAGTAGTTTTTTCTTTATTACTATAAAGAAAACAAATCTGCCATCGTACATTTTTAAGCCCTGGCCCCTTACTTATTTCTATAAACTTTACCCCTAATTTCTAAAGTCCAAGTCATTCTCACGCTGTCCCTACACCAACAATTTAATATAGTAATACATGAACTACTTATCTTACATAGATTGAACATAATATCATGTGAAATAATTGAAGAGATGTACAAAAAAAATTGTATAGGTTTAAGGACTTGTATGCCAACCTGCGGATATCCCAAGCATCCTACCATGAAATTGCCATCCTGATTCAAGGAAGCATGCCAGTTTAATGAGACAAAAAAACAAAATGCCTATGATTAAGTTGTAACATACCATAAAAACATATAGAGACTGCAGAATACATGAAAATATTAGTCTAAAGAAGACAACACTAAATGTGTCAAACCTACTAAAAACAATAATTGTATAATGGAACTCATTCCCAAAATATTATCTATAAGCATAGATAAACTTTGGGGGAATATATCAGCAGTATTATGAGTTTGAATCACTTTCTTTTACAAATAAAACTGTGAGGCCATATATCCTAACGGATTTGATTTTAGTAGAACTGTAGAATGAGCAGTTGCCTTTCCACATAATTTCAACTTTGCAAATGCATGCCTTTTGTTCTGTGGGTGGCAAAATTTGGCATTGGGATATATGCCTTTTGTTCTAAGTTGTTTTACTGGTCACCATCTAGTCTGGATATAAAGAAACTAGTCTCAGTTTGGGGTTTAAAAGCTAGGGTCATCTTTGTACTTGGAGTTAAAACAGTAATATCTTTGAATTCTTACTATTATGTGTATTCTGACATTTCTAGCTGAATACATATTTCCCAACAAGTTCTAACTTTCAAATCCAAGTATTTCTAAGAATAAAACATTCAATATGTTTGCAAATAGCCCTAATGAGGCCTAATTCTCAGTCTCACAAACTGATTACTGAGCAATCGACTAAACTAATGTTTTTGGTTTTTTCAATTAAGTTTATATACATATATATACGGCTAAATGATAAAAATAAACCTAAACTTTGGTCACTTTTGCAATTTTAGTCAATTCTTTTAATTTTGTCAATTGTAACAGTGAACTTATTTTTCCATTGCAATCATAGCCTCCATCCTATGTCCGTACGGAATTGCTGATGTTGCCATTAGTGGGAGCCACACTTCAACACATCAGCAAAAAAAAAAAGCTAAATGATAAAAAAAGCCTAAACTTTGTCTGTTTTTGCAATTTTAGTCAATTCTTTTTTCTTTTTTAATTTTGGGAATATCACGAGTTGTTTCATAGTACTTGCATATACATACTTAACGCATAATTAATTATAGTTTAATCATGTAATTAGATCTTCTTTGATGATTCTCTAAATTACAGCCTATTTCATGTAAAATTTATATTTAAAGTTAATTATTTAATTATCACTTAATTAATAATTAAGATATTATACAAAAATAAGAAGTTAATTTCAAAATACTAAAATAACATTATAACTCACAAATACATTATATATTTTTCATTTAACTTAAATTTTAAAATTAAAAAATAAATTATTAACCCAAAATAATTTATTTTTAAAATACATAATTTTTAAAAATCTGAAAAATTGAAAGAAAGAAATAAATCCATATCACATCAATTGTCAAAATTAAAACAATTGGCTAAAATTGTAAAAATAACCAAAGTTGAGGCCTTTTTAAATTTTAAGTTATTTGACTCTTTTTTTGTTGATCTGGCATGGTAATGTGGCACTAATGGTGTCAAAACGTTAATCCCACTAACTATAATGCCAGCAATTTTTAACATATACATAACGGCAGCTATAATTGCAACAAAAAAATAGGTTTTTTGCTACAATTGTCAAAGCTAAAAGAATTGGCTAAAATTGCAAAAGTGAACAAAGTTCAGGCTTTTTTTGAGCATTAAGCCTATATATAATTAAAAACCATTTAATCTATTCAATTCAATGTTCATGAAAATAAATCAAAATTAGCAAACAATCAAATATATATAATATTTCAGTTTTGTTAAATTTTGAACTGAACTAAACAAAAAAAAACCAACCAATGCTCTTACCTGCTTATAATAAATAACACACCAATCAAGAGATAAGGTCATTTCTGTGTGTTTGTGAATTGTGACTTTTATAGCATCTCTGTAGATGGGGTTGTGGTAATATAAAGGATGTCAAAATATTTTGGCATTTTGTGTTTTTTTCTTGTACTTTTTTTATTAAACTAGAGAAAAGCACTTTTATCCTCGACCACACTTTCACATTTATTCCTTGAAGGAATAATATTGTCTTCTTGGCTTCATCATGGGCTTTTTTTTTTTAGTAAAGCTTGAAGGACTGCCTTTGGGTATTATCCGATATAGTTGGCAAATTTTAAATTTCTACAATCTAAATATTCCTTTTATTTGTTTGTTTTTTAGCAAGATTTGCTTCTTTTTCACTAGGCTTGGACGATAGCTTATCCTCCAATTTGTACATTATTCATGCAGATTCTTTAATAAAAGAAACTTTATTTAAGAAGTATGAGACTATAGCCACTGCATTAGATATTATCGTGCACTGAAAAGAGGCAAAAACCTAGAGCCACGAACCATATGAGAAGCCATCATTAAATTTAGAAGATGAACTAAATTAGCATATAAAGGAGCTTGGCAACACCTAATATACTGATAAATACAAGAATTAGCAGAAATAATTTTGTTTCCCACGTAACTAGGGAATCAACTAATTATTACCCGATTTCTTTTTAGCACCATATTTGATTCTTGGCAAAGTCCACATGGACGAACAATTTCTCCACTTGCACCATGATCATTTCCATTGGATCTATCAGATCTGAATAGAAGTTGACAAAAATATGTTAAATGATAAAGCATATTATTTGCATACTAAGAAGATGTAAAAACCCACCTCTCAAAGAAAACAGCCATGGCTTCCAAGAGTTTAATTTTATTTATCCTCGCCTGCAAAAAATTTGGTGAGGTTGCAACAGTTGGTGTTTGCCCATGTATACAACAAAAGAAATAAACAAATAATAACAAGTTATCGTTTATAATATTTTTGGAAATAACCTATGTAGAAATTAAAGGAAAGAATACGTTTTATTTGTTTCAATTCTTTTATATTTTTCAACCTCTCTTCCACTATATATATACAAAAAATTGTTCCAATATAAGAAGTAATCTAAATAGGAATAAACCTAAACTAGAAAACACAATCTTTACACTAATTAGGAATACAAAAAATTGTTCCAATATAAAGAAGTAATCTAAATAGGAATAACCTAAACTAGGAAAACACAATCATTTTTACACTAATTAGGAATAAACCTAAACTAGGAAAACACCAATATTTTACTTTAATTACAAAGATTTCAAACTCCCCCTCAAGTTGGTGCCATAGATCCCTCAAGTTGGTGCATAGATATTACTCATACCCAACTTGCAAACTAAAGGATGAAACAACTTGCTATGCAAACCCTTTGTGAAAACATCAGCTAATTGCTCTTTTGAAGCTACATAGAACACACTTATAAAACCTTTAACTATCTTTTCTTTTACAAAGTGACGATCAATCTCTATGTACTTAGTTCGATCATGCTGGACTGGATTGTTCATAATACTGATGACTTCTTTACTATCACAAAATAAAGATATATTTGTTGTTTCAACCAACGTTAACTCTTCTATTAATCTGTGCTACCATAGAAGTTCACAGATTCCCTGTGCCATAGCTCTATATTCAGCTTCTGCACTGGACCTTGCAACAACAGCCTGCTTCTTGCTTCTCCATGTGACCACTTCTTGCTTCTGCCATGTGACCAAGGTTTCCTCCAATAAAAACAAATAACCTGAGGTTGATCTCCTGTCATCAAGGAACCAGCCTAATCCGCATTTGTATAGTCCTGTTAATTGTTAAATGGCCATGTTTAGAAAATTAAAAGTCCTCTCTACCTGGAGCCTTTGATTTTAAATATCTCAGATTCCGATGCACTGCTTCTCTAAATGAGACTCCGAGGGTCACACATGTATCGACTCACTAAACTTACAGCATAGGCAATATCTGTCTAGTATGGGCAAGGTATCAACCTTCCCAACATCTCCTGATACCCTGCCAATGCAACTGACTTTCCCACTCCAGCCTTGAAGCTTATGATTTAGCTTCAATAAGGTGATTCTGCAGGTTTACAATCCCAACATACCAGTTTCTTTAAGGAAGATCAAGGATATAACTTTCTTTGAAGAAATAAAAAATCCCTTTTTCCTGACCTAGCAACTTCTATCCCAGGAAATATCTCAACTCAACTTTCCCAAATCCTTAATCTCAAACTCCCTAGCTAACAAATTTCTCAAGTGAGTCATTTCTTCTTCATTATTTCCAGTCATCACTATACAATCAACATAAACAATAAGCAATGTGATCTTACTTTCATAATGTTTAATGAACAAAGTATGATCAGCATCGCTCTGAATATACCCAAAAGAAAGCATAGCTTTACTAAACCTTTTGAACCATGCTCTTGGTGATTGTTTCAGCTCATATAATGACTTTTTCAGCTTGCAAACTTTTCCTCTGGTTTGGTCATCATCAAATCTAGGAGGAATCTCCATATACACCTCAGGAATCTCCATATACACCTCTTCTTTCAAATCACCATGTAGAAAAGCATTTTTAACATCAAATTGATGTAACTCCCAGTCAAGATTGGCTGCACAAAAAAACAAAATTCTTATTGTGTTCATCTTGGCTACAGGGGCAAATGTTTCCTGATAATCAACTTCATAGGTCTGACTGAATCCTCTGACTAACAATCTAGCCTTGTACCTCTCAATTGAACCATCTGCCCTATGTTTAATTGTGAACACCCATTTACATCCAACTGGCTTCTTTCCTGGTGGAGTTACAATATCCCATGTCTCGTTTTTCGCCAAAGCTCTCATCTTCTCAACCATTACAACCTTCCATTTTGAGTCATGTAATGCGTCTTGCCAATCCTGCGGTATAGAAACAGAAGAAACAGACAAAACAAAGGCTCTATAGGAAGGGGACAAAGCATTATAGGAGATAAAATGGGAGTAAAATTGGGAGATGATGTTTTAGTTGCAGATTCCTAACTCCTTTCTAAGAAGCGAATAGGAATATTAAGGTCATTGTCAGAAGACTGGAATCAACAATCTAGGATCAAAAGTAACAAAAAATTAAAAAAGGAACTCCCCAAGGTCTTATTCTTCCTGCATCTTCCAGGGGACTGAAATTGGAGAGCGATGGTCAATCAGAGGTCTCGATGCTCTATGGTGTATCTGTATGTAGTCCGCCGTGCTGTAGGTTTTCAAAATCAGGTCTATCCAATCTTCTTTAGAGGGTTTGGGTGGTTGGTCTCTCTTATTATCTATGTCTACAAGAATCTCCCCCTGGAAAGGAATGTCATCCATCACCTCTTCCATCTGGTATTTCTCCCCTGAAGAGGTGAATAGGAAGGAAAATAAGACTCAAATTCCCGAAAGGTAACATCCATACTCACAAAGTATTTCCGAGAAGGTGGATGATAACACTTGTATCCTTTTTGAGTAGTAGAATAACCAACAAACACACACTTCAAGGCTCTAGGATCTAATTTGCTTAGACTAGTCTGATGAACAAAACAAAGGCAGCCAAAGACCTTAGGAGGTACAATATAAGAGTTTTTTATAAGAGTTTTTTCCTTGAAGAACACTCTAATGGAGTTTCAAAATTTAAAAAGTACGAAGAGAGCATACGCATGGATAAGGTTACAGCAGCAGGTAAGCAGCAGTCAAAATAGCATCCCCCAATATGGTTTGGCAAGATTCATAGTGAACATAAGGGACCTAGCTACTTCCAGTAAATGCCTATTTTTCCTTTCCGCTACTTCATTTTCAACACTAGTATTAACACAACTAGTTTGATGTATAATACGATTAGAACCTAAATAGGTACGAAAATCTGCATTCATGTATTCAATACCATTATCAGTTCTTAAGATTTTAACATGCGCATCAAACTGAGTACAAATCATTTTGTGGAAGTTTTGAAAACACGAAAAAACTTCATTTTATATTTTCATCAAATAAACCCAAGTCAATCTAGTGCAACAATCAATAAAGGTCACAAACCATCTATAACCAGAAAGAGAGACAGTTTTAGTAGGACTAGGACCCCCAAACATCAGAATGAAATAGTAGCAAAGGAATTCAAATTCTTATTATTAATTGGAGAATAAGAATGCCTGGGTGTTGGCAAAGTTTCACCAAGCATTCATCATAAACCTATGAATTAAAATCACATTTAGCAAACCAAATGGGAAAATAAACGCCTAAACAGAAGAAGAGGATGTCCTAATCCTACCTATGCCATTGAAAATAAACTTCACGCGGAAGGATCTTCGAGAGAGTTCCTTAACAAAGCTTGGACTGTACGCCGAATTTGAAAAACGACAACACTTCATCAATGATATACAGTCCACTCGCACAACGCTACCACTTCCAATCATTCCCCGATATTCAGTTCCTGAAGTATTACAATGGAGCTTAGGTAAAATTACTTTGCAATTAAAGTGCTTTTGTGATTAGCAACAATAACAGCATTAATAGGAAATCTCAGGAACATGAAGAACAGGGGAGAGTTAAATATTGGAAGTAAAAGGTCAATTAGAACCTGTGCCAGCACATTGGTACTAAGGAGCCATCCGCCAATGCGAATTTGTCTGTGCTCTTAATTACTTAAATAGGTGAGAAATGTTTTATAGAGCATCGTCTGTATGTTTATTTGCTCCTTGGAATCTATACACCCCAAGAGGGTTTTGAATTTTTTTGCAAGAAAGGTAAGGAAGCATACTTGAATTTACTTGAATTAACAAAATTAGAGGCTGCAATCTGAGTTGAGGACGAATCAAACTGTGAGAACAATCGTTTCAGGGACTGAATCTCCTTATCAGAAAAGCTTCCAGCAGTAGATGGTTCCTCAGATAAAGCTCCACTATCAGATATGTGTACCTGTGGTTTAGAAGAACTGACCCGCTTTCCTCCACGCCCTTTAGTTGGGCGTCCATGTAATTTCCAGCCGAACTCCTTAGTGTGCCGGTTCTTACTGTAATAGTCACAAAATAATTGATCTCTATCTGAAGAATTGCTCTTTGCAGCCTGGATATGTTCTCTTGCAGAATTAGCAATCAACCCTGCTTTGTCAATGTTAGATCTATGAACCATAACGTTCCTCCCATTCTCCCCTTGCTGTACAAATGAGTATGCTTGTCGTAAGGATGGAAAAGGATCTAGTCCAAGAACTTGGACTCAAATCTGATCATACTCGTTATTTAGGCCAGCTAGAAAATCATACACGCGTTCTATTTCAATCAACTTCTGAACTTGAATCGCATCATCAGTACATCTTGTTTGAAAGTCTTGATATAATCCAGTTCCTGCCATAAGCCACTAAGTTCAGCAAAATACTGAGTGATATAGTCAACATCTCCCTCCTTGGTTTCAATGAACTTTCTGTCCAAATTCATACCCTCTGAGCATACGTTTCCAGTTTTTGTGCAATACGTCTGTGAAGCAGGGCCTTCCCATATCTTCTTAAGCTGTATCAAGAAGCAATCCTCCGGAAATAGTTGGCTGCATGGAATTTATGTAACCAAGACATTAATAAAGAGAATTCTCGGACATAATAAGAGAATTCTCGGATTTCCACTTGTTAAACGCCGTATCTGTCGAAACTAGTTTAGTTGCTCGACCATCAAGGTATCCCTGCAAACCTCTAGCTTTAATGAACAATAAACAAGACCGAGACCAAGCCAGGTAGTTTGTTCCATCTAACTTCACCGGACTAATCTGAAGTGAGGGGCTCTCTGAGTGAAAAACCATATCTACCTTCTTTCCGTCAACCATATCTTAAAAACAAATTTAAACGGCAGCAGCGGTAAAAAAGGCAGCAGCGGTAAAAGGCA